CGGCCGCCGTCCCGGCCGCCGTAGTTATCTCGGCCGCCGTCCCGGCCGCCGTAGTTATCTCGGCCGCCGTCCCGGCCGCCGTAGTTATCTCGGCCGCTGTCCCGGCCGCCGGTGTAGGAGAAGTCTTCAGGTGCGTTCCACTTGTTTGCGTTCGGAGGGCGTGCATCATCGTCCTGGTCGTCCCACTTGTGTGCGCTGCGGTTTCGCGGTTCATCGTGCTGGCGAGGGTAGCCACGAGCGTAGTTTGGTTCGCGTTCGAACGGTCGATGTTCGAAGTCGTCGCGCGCTCCGCCGTGTGAGCGGTAGTCTTCGGCGCCTCGGCCGCCGCGCCGGGGTTGCCAGTCTTCGCCGCGGTCCTCCTCAGGATAACGGCCGCCTCGTCGCGGTTCGCCGTCCCACTCCTGACGTCGTTCGTCTTGGCCACTGCGGCCACGGAATTCGTTACGGCGATAGTCGTCGTTCCTCATTGGGGGCCTAGTTAGACGCGGGGGTCTCCGAGAAGCTTCCTCGCCCCAGTCTTGGCGAGGCTCCTCATCACCCCAATCCTGCTTCTTCGCCGGCTCATCGTCGCCCCAGTCTTGACCCTTCGACGCACCGCCCTCCTCGCCGTCCCACTCACCCTTGCCGCGACGCTCCTCGCGTCTACCGCCCTCAAAACCAGGAGCGGTCGTACCGTCATAATCTCCTCTAAACGACCCCATGACAATCCAGAGACGATTTTTTTCGCGCCCGAATAATCCCTCTCACGTGTCCACGAAAAACGGCTTCGTCACACAATCACCATGCACCGACAGGACCCACACAATCTGCACACAGTGTGACAACTTCCGGCACAACCTGCGCGACGACCCAGTCGTCACCACGACAACCTGCATCACAACCAACTGCGGCCACAACCCGCTGACACCACAGCTTGCGGACACGGCAACTTGCCGGCCAGCAACTTGCTAACGCAGTAACTTGCTGGACAGTAACTTGTTGAAACGGCAGCTTGCTGGATCAACAGCTTGCTGGGCTAGGAGGGAATGTAAAGGGAATAAAATGACTCGCAGGTCTGATCGTCGTCTTGCACGGTGCCGTCCAGATCGGGAAGAAGATCGCATGCTGCGATCCCGAGGGGGAACGAGAGCAAGGTGAAGAAGATGGTAAGCCAGCAGTGCAGTTTCAGTGTGAAAAAGCTGCTGTTGGTCCACAACCAGGCGAGGGCTCCACTGACGCTTTGCCAGCCCTGGAAGAAGGAGCCTACGCGTACGCATTTGCGGGCGTTGCCCTGTCCTAGAACACTGGTATCCCACATGATAAAGGTGCTGAGCAAGCAGTCGGAAACGCCGAGGCCGGCCATTAAGCTGATGGCTGTTTTTGTACTATCCGGCCGGGTGGTGGTCAAGTCCAGGACGGGATCGCTGTATAGATGGGCGACGGTTAAGAGCATGATTAACACGGTACTAAGCATTCCGGCGCTGTAAACAATTTTAGGGCTTATTCTTCTCTTGTCCAACAATGGGGGGAGAAGCCATACCACTGCGCCCTGAATTAAGAAGTAGACCGCGTACGCCAGATTACCTTTGGCTTGAGTGGGCGTTAATATTTCCGTGAGGTACTCCAACTGAATGGGTCTAGTCCATATGCTTGTAACAGCGGTAGGAAGCATTAGTATTGTGTTAGGGTTTGCTGCTCTGAAAATAGCCATGAGTTCATGCGTCACACTACCAACTGAGCTAATCTTGTATGTATTAGCGTAACTACCATCAGGTCTAACAACCAGAGCAGGCTCAACCAGTAGCATACAGAAATATATGGATATTATACTACAGAGAACAATCACCAGCGTCATAGAAATAAACCTGACATACTGAACCGTTGGAATGTTCACCACAGCATTTATCGATCCTCCTAAATGCATCAGGGACCAGCTAATCGCTATATATCGTGACCTATCGGCCGGTGTAGAATAGCCACAGACTATAGCAAATATGATCATCCATAACAGTGAGCTTGCAAGCGAACTTGTAAAACCAGTTATTATAAGTGAGAATGTATTCTTATTCCACCATGAGAATGTCGCCGCTTCATTGATACCTTCTATACAACTAAGGATGGTAGCCAGTAACGTTAGCTTTCGTACCCCTATTTGACATAAGAATGGGGTTATGAAGAATGAAAAGAACGCACTCACTAAATGATATGCTAATTGACTATAAGCAAGATCTCGCTTCCGAAACACGGAAGCGTCTTGACCCTGGGCCAGCGCATCATGGATACCCAATCCACCGAATGTAATGATGCTCAATATTGATACTTGAACACTCGCAGCTTCTAATTGTAACGTTGACGGATACCATCCCATTTTATTTAAATGCGCACACTACCAGTAGCTGATCTAACTTGCATTGTCGCCTAATAACTGACCAATAGCTAGCTACTAACAACTGACCAACAGCTACTAATAACTGATTAATAACTACTAATAGCTGACCCAGCTACCAATAGCTAGTTGGTTGGTGTCTTTAAAAAAACGCATGTCCGAAAACAGGAAGGTAGTTAGATTTCATCCAAATGGGCCGGTGGTACCAGTACGCCAACGGCGTATGAGTGACGCTTCTCGAAGGTACCAGGAAGCAAAACTCAAACATTTGTTCGCAGAGGACATTGATGATATTAGTAGCATGAACGAACTTCACTCTACCGGAGAGACGTCGGATACTCTACCACTCTGGAGCGATGACGGAAGTGACGGTCATACAGACGAGCATTCTTATGGAGATTTGGAATCGGTCAGTTCAGCAGATAAACTGAACCGATACCTAAAGGCTGCGCTTACGTCTACGGCACCTGCCACTCAAAATGGAAATTGGAAGCTACATACAACATTTACAACTATTGGACCAGCCACACAGGGGACTCGATCAAGGATTAGATTTAGGCAGAACCAGACCAGCGATGACCATTTGTTAGCCACACCTTAGCGGTAGGGAGGTCCACCCCCCCTGGCGGTAGGGAGGTCCCCGGTGGGGAGGCCCCCCC